GGGTTTCGTCATTTAGATCCCTTTGTGACTGGCATAGGTTTCCGTTGTTGATTATATAAACGTATTTTCCCGCTCTCTCTCTCTCTCCCCCCTTGATATACTTTTTAACGTGTACGGAACATTCTATTTTGGTATTTATGTACCGCATATCTACTCCCTTCTGTACAACGTCATATGGGTACCCTGGTCAGACACGACTCCAGTGTGTCCCTTCATCGGAAGGAAGGACTCCCAATACAAGGGCCACCCTGACGGCGTATTTTTATTAGAGGGTAGGTATAGGGTGGGTCACTACGTCAGAGAAATTGTCGTAGTCAGGGGGGGGGGGTGGGAAAGTTGGGCGGAGGAGGGAAAGTTTATAAGTACAGTACTCTGATCTGAGGGTCTCTTCGGACGGAGGTGAGTCTCAGTAGAACAGCTGGAAGTTAGGATATAAAGACAGAAAAAGTAAATAACATACATGTGTGATTAAGTTCATTACATTTGCAGAAATAGATAGAAATTGGGAAGACAACGAAATCGACACTACATTACGAACCCCCACCCTATTTATACCTTATACAAGCGAGAAGGAGACGAGAGTCCCGTCGTCATTGTCGTTGGAGAGGGGACCCAGACGTGACTCGACCGATTAACTCTTAACTGACGGTCATATGATGACACAAACGGAGTGAAACAAAAATCCCGAATAGTAAATAAGGTAGTAGTTTTGTTCCTGTGTTCCGTTTCTGAATTGTAAGTGGTGATTTCTTGTAAAACGAACATAATAATAATTACTAATTAAAAAATGTGGTTCTTACTGGTCGCTAGGTGCTGTTGTAGAAGTGTGGCTAGATCTCCGCAACAAGAATATATTTAATAACAGGATCAACTTAGAATGCTAACCTAGTCTCAGGTCGTCATTCACGACACCTGAGAAGGAGGGCCTGACAGTGAAGGAGGCCATCAGCACAGTTGAACACGAGATCGTCGTCAGAACAACCTGGAGGAAGAGTCCCGGCCGGGGGCGGATGTACGTCTAGTGGTATCCGCCGCGCACTCCGGAGTCCAAATCCTTCCGATGTATTGAAAAAAAATGGACTGCGACGGGGCGCAGGCCGCAGGATATCTTCTCTCTAGTTGAGTCACCTTTCGTGGCGGACGACTGGTTAGTCTCGAGTCACACGTCTCAAATTTTATAGTTCAGTATAATTGTCCTATCTCGCTTTTATTTCAATTTCGACGGCATACCGTCTCTTCTGCGGCTGTACAGCGTGAATAGTAAGTATAGTGTACGTAGTTAGTCTAAGTAGGCTAGTATATTATTAGTATTATATACGTATATCAAAGGAATTTAGACTCAGTCCGAAGAACTCGGCGTAGGACCGGACGTTGTGAATGTAACAGTGTGGTATGACATACCGTCTGCATAATAAGAATTCGTTGTTGTAATTCAACTCGCTTTCTGTGAGTTTGAGTTTTACATTAATTTCGGTCTAGGTGAGGCTAGGTATAGGGACAGATTTATAATCAAATGAAAAGTAATTACTTTCATATCTGCGACGCGGACAGTCATGTGAACACAGGGACAAACACTATACCAGTTTACAACGATTGGAGGCGGGGAAAGTGCACTTCAGCGCGAGAGGTCGAACCTGTCTCTTTGGGCGACCGGAACTAAATGTGCTCAACTATTGGTCGCAGCATCTAGGCGAATCGTTTAGGCAGCAAACAATCCCCAATCAATTACTATTGAGTCTGGTTTTGTATAGGTCCCATACAACTTGACCGAAGCATCATCCCGTCCCCGTGTCCACCGGACGTATTCCGTCGCGATTACAGGCTCTTCTGTGGTTTGTAATATGTACATAGAAAATAAAATGGCGTCCTTACCCGTCACTGTTTTTATAAAACCCTTCCGATCGGAAGGGATCCGGATGTCATGAGGCGGTGGAGGGGACCGTCTAATTGCGGTTGACGCACCCCGGGAGTAGGAATAGGCGGTTACGGCCGCGTTAAGTAAGTAGAATACCGGATTCAAGTGCATCGTACGACGGTGAACGACGGCGGGCAAGTTGGCCGAGGCCGCTGTGGTACAGCACATGCTGAACACATCGTCTGGACCACCGGAACACGGTGTTGAACCGGCATCCGCGTGTGAGCAGGAGTCGACCGTTGCGCAGAGAGAACCACTGTGCAGGGAAGTCGGTCATTTGCGAAGAACTCCTGAGAAAGGAAGTCCTTTTTTTTTTCCAACAGAAGAGCTGAGTAGGAGGGGTCCTGACTACCGATAGGAATCGTTTAGAGCAGGAGGTTCGTCTGGGGGTACGCTAGAAAAAGTGAGTAAGAGCAGACGTCATTTGAACACCAGAGGCAGACAGGTCTCAGTATAAGAACACAAGGAGTCTAAGGTGTCATTGAGAATAAAACACCTGATCAAGATTTCGGGTCTTGCGCCGATAGAACACCTCGAACAGGAGGTCCGTCATTTGCGAGGGATTCACCTCCGGGGTAAGAGGTCGAATTACGAGAAATTCACCTGTTTAGGAGCGAGGGGACCTTTGTACTTTTATGTGATGAATTTCCAAATTTTCACGAGATAGTATTTCCGACATACATAACATGAACAGCGCGTAATATTCATGTGTTATAAAAATTTACAAGATATATATATGCATAGTTATAATTATGTTTAATCGGTGTGGATAAACATATATAATATAGATATATCGATATATCATATACATATATATATATATATATCATTATATATTAGTATGGGTCACCCCGTTTTTTCATAAATCAGTCGGGGTGGTTAACACGTTCCAACGAGCGGTGAATTTTCTACTCTCTCCGGACATTAAAGTAGGGCGATCCATATAGGAGTTGATGACTCTCTGTTTTACTCTTTTTGTCTTTAGGTCTTTTAGTGTAATCCGACTAAAAATTTTCCTTAAATAAACCCGTTTAATACCCCTTTTATTATTGTTTTAATCCTCTGGAGCAGAGAGAGGAGCTGTGGATTGAAAAAACATCTTGAATATCAGGGAGGGCGCGGGGCTCTGTTGGCGGGGCGCAGCAATGGTTGGGGAAACAGACGGGGGTCCCTGACAATGGTAGGGGAAACACTGCGTCATTATTTAGGTGAAACGCAGTTACTTCCAAAGTTCCCAAAGATAAACCTAAATGACCTTATATATTTAACTCTTGGACACCCTGAACTGTATTTAACACACTAATTATTCATGTGAGTTAATGGGGTTATAGTATTAGCGATTCATAGCATGGCTTATAGAATTGATTTTGTTTATAATTTTTTAAAGGCAAAACTGATGATTTTCATTAGGGCTGCACAATTAAAAGAAATGTTATCAAAATAGAAATGTGGACTAGCGCAAACTTCAAATCGCAAAACGCACAATATTTTGTAAAGGCGAATATGTGTTTAAAATACCATCTACAAAACATTTGTTTGGCACGGATCATTCCAATACATTGATGATGAGAATGATTATGCAAATGTTAAATATCTCTAATATTGCAATTTCAATGTCAGTCAAATATTATTTTTTCAAACTGTGCAGCCGTTATAATCATAAGCCATCATTTATCATCATAAAGTCCATCCTCAAAGGTCGTGAGGAGTTGGAGCATGGATGTATAAAGAGAACTAGATAAAGTGTTGGAGGCGGGGCCCCGTTTATTTTTTTTATAAAAGTTAATCAGTGGTGCATGAAACCAAAATGGCCTAGACCTTGAGAATACAAATATCTGAATCCTCTGGGTCTTGAGCCCACAGAGCAAGCACATTTGCGTTTTTGCTAAGCCCTGCCTCCTATCAGCTCCATCACGACTGTCTCGGCTCAGTCCAATGAATGGAGAGGGAAAATAACTAGTATCAGATGTTTGTGCATTGGAAGCTTTTAGGACCTAATGATTTAAATAAGGCAGATTCAAGTGTTCTTACTGGGTAGATCATATACTGTAGCTAAAAAAAAAGTATCTGCTGATATACAGATATCTCTTTCCCAATGCAAGTCAATACGAAAAAGTGTTTGGAGCCAAATGTCGTCCTGGACTGACAAGGAAGTTGAAGTACCACGATTTGGCCATTGATACATTTTGCCTCACAGTCCAGCACACTTCCTGGGGGCTTGGGTTGGAGTGGATCCCACCTGCCAACGGCCAGTGGTCGCCAGTCAATCAAAAGGCTGCCAAATAGTGCCAGACCACCATTCATGCTCACATTCAAAGGTGATTCAATGTCACTGTGGCTTTTGGTAAGGTGTGTTAAGAAAGAAGTATCCTTACCACAATGTGTGGTAGCGGTAAAAAGGACCAAAGGTTAGTTTCATAGTGTTTTTGTCACTGACTGTATGTATGAGTCAGAGGAAGGTAAGAGACTAATTTTTAAATTGAATGACAAACACTGAGTCAGCCTAAAAGCTTTTATTTATCTGGACTGTGTTTGGGTTCTGTGGATTATGCTACACCACATGACATACATCAGTTAAAGTGCGGTTTGATTTACCACTGTCCTGTTTACTGGGAAAACAAAACACCAGTGAATCTTTTAGAAGAGTTGAAGGCTCAAACCCTATGAATAATGTATCATTAATCTCTGGGAAGTGCTGACTGGGGTGCATGGGATCTGTAGGCTGGAATATAAAGCCTCAACTCAGTGGGCCAGCTGTGGAACAGGGTGACCACCAATGGTAGGGTCCGTGGTTTGATCCCCAGACCCTGCAGTCAACGTGTTGAAGTGTCCTTTGGCAAGTTCTGAACCCCAAATGGCTCCCGTAGGCATGTCTAAAGTAACGGGGTGTATGTAAGGGTGAGTTCACACCTGCCTTGTATAGCCCGGTGGAATCGAACCCTGGTGCGTTTAACTGCTTGGTGCGGTTCATTTGGGTCGGTGTGAACACAATCCGAGACCTCTTAAGTGAACTAAACAACCGGACTCTGGTCCGCTAAAATAGGTGGTCTCGGAGCGCTTGCTTGCGAACTCTGGAGCGGTTCATTGCTGGTGTGAACGCATTCCACACCCC